CATAGGTCAACAACCTCAGCGGGAGTAGAACTATGACAGTGCAGAATGTGAGCTTGGCATGTTAGCCACTAAGCCGCATTGCTAAGAGTGCCCTTGGGTCACGGGGCAGATATGAATTTCAAGGAAAGCCAGGTCTTTTCCCAAATCACATTCTTTGATGAGATTGTCGATGAAGCAAACGTATATTTGCTATAACAATCGACTACGTTACTTATTTTTCATATGTTTCGAGACTACCAGTAAATCAGTAACGTAAAATAAGTAACGTAGTCGATTGTTATAACAAATATACGTTTGCTTTATCGATAATCCAACCAAGGAATGTAATATGGGAAAAGGCCTGGCTTTCCTTTAAATTCACATCTGCCCTGTGACCCAAGGGCACTCGTGGCAATATGGCCGAGTGGTTAAAGTGTCAAGCTCACATCCCACACTGTCATGGTTCGACTCCCGCTGGAGGTGCTGATAAGACCTACGTGAGGCCGAAACTTCAGTCCACCCTGGATTAAAATAATTATTGGGAAAGCAAGACTATGTGCAATTCAATGGAAATGTCAGCTCTACTCATATCATTGTTGGAAAATTCTACTACCAGTCCTTCATCACCTTAAACGAAATAGGGTGAATACATCTCGTATTACAAATAACTTAATCATAAGATAGTCCTAGATATTCTATTTCTTAGCTCATCGACAGTCTGTAAAGAAAAGTCAGAAGCAACATAATAGAGCAGTAGCTATAAAGCAAGTAACTATATTCTCTATATGCATTACTTAATCTAAAGTGAAGGAGTATTAGTGTGAAAATAAGATATGAACAAAGAACAATTCAATACCGATAAAAGACAAGAAAAGTAAGACTCCAGTGGACCAACTGAAGGAGTCTACGGCATCAATGTGGAGATAATATAGCGCAAATTAGATCAGGCCTGAGGAGATATTGCACGAACATTGGCGACAGTGACATTAAAAACTTTAGAATTAGTCAAGAAGATTGCGGCTTTTGTGACAGAAGCCGAATCTGCCACAACCAGGTTCTGTAATTTGATTGTTCGCACAGCATGCTCCGGTTGCTCAAACGATTCTACTGCTGGTGGCTCATTGACAGACGCCCTCATGCTTCCAAGGACGTTGTTTGTGATCGTCTTGGGAATGTGTAGAGTCCTTGATTCTAGAACATGGCGCAGATGAACATTCTTTTTAGGACTTAACTTTGACCCTCCACCAAGGGCTAAGGAGTTATTTGCTTTTGCCCTCATAGGTTCCCTTTCATAGTCTTCATTTAGACGTTTTGTTTCATTGTTTGACTTAGCAATGTCGTATTCAATTTGACTAGAATTATTAAATGTGAGAATAGGTGTAGCAGCGTGTTTAAGATTTCTACCAAAAGAGGGGACATTTGAAACGGGAATAGGCAAATGCTTTGAAGAAAGATTCTGATTTGCCCTGATATGTGTCTGGTTGAACTGATTTTCGATATCCTTATATAAACCGAGAGTTGTGTCGCTTTGGCGACTTTGATTGTGATAAAGATCAGAAGAGTTCATCCTTTTTATAGGATTTTCAGTCAACTTTTGACTTGCTCCTAAAACCGAGTCAGTTCTAATATAGGAATTATAGCCTTTGGTCTCAGTGGAAATTTCATAGAGAATCGGATTTGGAATGAAAGCAGTTGTAGAGACCGGTGAGCTAGAAGAGGTTGTGGAACTGGAGCGGTGAAAATCAGCCGAAATACCAAGGCCGAGCAAGAGGAGACCAGTAGTCAGGATAAAGAGGGCAGCAAGCCGATCGCGACTGGCTGAGTAGGCAGTGTGTAGCAGAGGTTCCGAAGATACATGGATAGTGCGGCGTAAAAAGCGAATAGTGGAAAAGAGGAGCACTAGACTTGGTAGGAGATAGCAGGCAAGACCGCCGGCAAGGCTGGAGCTGATCTGCAGAATGAGTTCAACTAATTAAAAAAAAAAATTTTGGCAATAAAATGAATGAGATAGGGTAACGAGATAATTGAGTTATTAAAGAAAATAATAATAATTTAGAAGTAAAATTCGTAAAAAATTAATGGAGATAGAAGAGAAACGCAATAAAAAAAAGACTAACAAGATAAAAAGTCAGAGTAGAGATAAGAAAGCAAATGAAATAATATAAGAAACAAAAAATATAAGTGATGGATAATTATAATAGAGAAGAAAATTACAATCTGATCTGTAATAAAATCATGAAATGGGCTGAATAGAGGATAGAGCTTAATTATGTCCAAATATCGGCATACTCAAGTGGATAAAGACAAGATGAAAACGGCGTTGTGAGCGTCTACATGTTTTGTATTTAATCATCAAATTGACTGTCAGTCAAGATCTACTGAGTCTCTATATCTACTTTATATAAGTATGCGAAACATAGTCAGTTGTAATGGCAAAACACAAGATTGTCTTATAGAAAATCCAACTGCAAATGTGAAATTAAAGAGGCCTGGCCTTCCTCGAAATTTACATTATCCCCGCGACATAGAGGCATTTAAAGTGGTGTGGCGTATTGATAAGATAGAGAGATTATACGTTGCATTAGCCGAATTCTAATCTTGCTGATGGTTCAGGGTTGAAAATAGAGTCCACTCTGGACGAGAGAGCTTTTTGGGAAACAAGGACAAGTGAAATTCAATATAAACAAGACCAATCCATCTAATTATAGGAAAACTCAGCTAAAAGCACTTATATCACCTTAAGGGGCCTAGGGGCACTAAGCTCTAAGTAAAGAACTATGATAGTTCAAAAACTACTTATATCGAAATTAAACGGAAATATGCGATTAAGAGAATTGCATACCTTAGTCACTTAGACGAAGTAAAACTAGTTGATGAGGCTGGTGCTTGCCACTGACGCTGGAAATTATCATGGTTAGGATAAGACGCAAGAATGAATATGTTTTCCAAAGCCGCCTTGTCACCACGACAAGGTTCATATAACAAAATTAATATAAGCCTATACATTTAGTATAGAAGTAGAATTTCGAGACTACCAATAAATCAGTTATGAGACGTATTCACCCTATTACGTTTAAGGTGATGAAGGACTGGTAGTATAATATTCAAATTTTCAAATTAAAAGCAAATTAATCAACACTAGGGAATCACTTCTATCAGTTGTGAGGCTGAAGAAAACACTGGTAAACAGAATAAAGATTGTGATCCCGCGAAGCTGTCCAACAGTCATGCCGGAGCTAACAGAAGATGAACGTAATGAGCCATCATCGGTCCCATCATCGTGATCTACCTTCCAGTGAAGTAATCGGCTAGAATCGAAACTTCCCGAATGGCTGGTCTCATTGAAGCAAGGGGCACATAGATCTGTCATTGAACAACGCTAAAAATGAAAAATAAAAAAGCGATATAAACATAGATAAGACAAATATAGGTCAAAATTAAGTGTAAGGTAATATATGCTGAAAATTTTTGTTTAATTTTCTATCCAGATTATATATTCCCTAAAATATTTTTATTAAATTATCCTTACAACATTGGTTATAATCCAATCATGTAAGCGTAGCAATGATTGAGAGGATTCTCACGCGATTTTACTTATTAATCGAAGGTATGAAGATCAAGATGGTGTGTCCTTGTGTGTGGTCGCAGTCTCCTTTCGTTGTATAGAAGTTGTTTGACCTTGTTTTGGCAACTGGGTCATATTGGTAGGAAGACTTAGAGGAACGCATCTAATCCGGAGTCCATTATATACATAATCATTTCTAGAGTAGGACCATGGATGTGCTACATTCACAGACGTTTCGACGACATCGTCAGTGAGTCTCGTCATTCTTAGAACCACACATCAACTCGTCAAATAGACAAGTGAAGCCGATCCTTTGACCAAACGTGTAATAAAGAATTGTGGTATCTCACCTTCTACCCTGGTCCATTCACATTTCCTATATCCTCCTATCACGCCTTTACTGTTACTATTTTTACCGTGATTATTTCGATGTAGTGTGATGTGCTCCTTTGAGCGCCATTCATAGAAACCCTTCACACTCCACGAGGTCGTTCTCACCCGCTTAACCCTTGTGCTTGGAATGTTGATCAGAGTCTGCCATATTTTTACGTAGTCCTCCTTCCATAAGTTTTATCACAGTCTCTCTATTTCCCCGTCTGCTATCTCCCTGGTTAACGTATTTCACTCGACCCCTGCCACCCCATCTGTGCTACAATAGGCGTTATTCGCTCTTCCCTGCGTCTGGGTGACTAATTCGAGGCTTAAGCCTCTGAGTAAGTCTCATCGTCAAGGTTTTGCTACTCACCGACGATGCCGGCGAAACGTCTGGTGATGTACCATGTCCACGGTCCTACTCTAAAAATAATTATGCATATATATTGGACTCCGGACTAGGTGCGTTTCTCTAAGTCTTTCTACCAATATGACCAAATTGCGAAAACAACGTCAATGAACTTCT